CCATCCTAAAACATCATTCAAACTTGCTCCAATCATCAAAACACCACAACTTAACACCAAAACCATCAAATTACATCGGATTCAAGCCTAAGTTCTTCTAAAACTTCTGAATTACGCATTTGATCAAAACCCCGACCAAAACACCTCCGAATGACCTGCAATTTTGCACACACATCCAAAATCACCTAACGAAGCTACAACAACTCTCGGAATCCCATTCCAACCCTCAGATCAAAATCTCACCTATCAACCGGAATTCGCTAAAATACTAACTTCGCTAATTCAAGCCTAATTCTACACCGGACCACCAAAATAAATTCCGATCACACTCCTAAGTCACAATCATCCCCCAAAGCTAACCAAATCACCGGAACTCACATCCGATCCCTCTAACTCATAAGTCAACATCCGGTTGACTTATCCAAAACAAACCTTCCTTAAAGAGACTATGTGTCTCATTTCCATCCAAAATCAATCCAAATCGACTCGTTTACTCAAGACTCTTATAATGAAACATAAGGAAGCAGAAAAATGGGAAACGGGGCGGTAACTCACGTGACGACGGGCCGGGTCGTCACACATATACTTCAAGAAGAGAGTCATCCTAGTCTTGATCGCATGCCACGTATCATACTCATCCTGAAACATGTAAAGTAAGCAGGGCCCTGGAAGGAGGGCCCCTAAGGGCTGAGTACACCACAGTGGTACTCAATAAGTGTCATAGACTCTCTCTAACTTAAGTTCTTGGGATAAACTTTATAAAAATAATGCACCAATATTTAAAATAAAATGATAAGAAATTCTATCAATTCATGACCCTTGTCATTTTGAATAAAAGCCAAGTGAAATATAACCCACAATATAAACTTTTAAAATATTTACACCAATCAATGATTTTGGATAAAATCATACAAAATCATTTCATTTGCTTTAAGTCATTGAAATCACTTTCGGCTCCTTAGGCCTAAACATAAGAATATCATCCTTACCTTTCACAGGGAGTACTATACAATCACCGACATAAGAAGGTCAACTAGGTTATGTACCTAGAGACAAGTATCATATACCCTAGTTGCTCAGGCCATCTCATCGTAGTGCCGTACGAATCGGCTCAACCATGCTAATAATAGCACAAAATAGTACTCTCTCGAGGGAGAGCACTATGTCGTAGTCTATACCACAAAGTGGCCATCTACGCCTACACCGTCACGTGTAATTTCATGACAACAAACACAATATATCCGAAGTCAATCTCGGTGAACACAAGTAACTCCCAACACATTGAATACTTGAAAAATAGATTCATAGCATAGTAGCTTCAAATTATCTATTTTTATCAACTCGTAACATTTATAGAAAAATCTAAATCATTTGAACAAAAATTAAATAAATAACCGTTTGCATGTTAATGCCTTTAGCAATTTAACATCAATCTTTAAAAGATACCACAAGTGTTATTCTGTTCGTCAATTTCCAAAAGATATACTTTCCATGAAAACTTATCTTTAGCACTCAAATATATATACGCTTGTCAATACGTAAGTTTTGATAAAAACTTATAACATTTACCTTAAGTGTCATTTTGCCAACAAGATTTAAAATAAAATTTTATAAAACCGCATGACACTACATATGCAACATAATATTCTAGTATATGGATACTTCCATACTTGTTTGTCCCCACAAGCACAAAAGCACATTTTCAACAACTTAAGTATTAACTCGAAACATGCTTTTAGAGAAAATCCCTCAAGAAGAGTAAGTTTTAATCAACTTACCTCGCTTTCGCTTTATTGATATTCACAAGCTTTTAATCCTCCTCCATCATCCCAACGTTGATTAAAATGCTCAACATCACCAACATGTCGATATCTAGAATTAGATATCCTAATTATATCAAAATATGACCTAAGAAATTGATCAACATCTATATATGTGTAACGATCCGACCGGTTGTTTTGAGCTCTAGCGCGTCGTTCGGTGGTATGAGGCCATGAGCAGCTTCATTTCAGGTATTATGACTTGTACGCGTGGTTGGGATTGAATTCCGGGAAGTTCGGAGTTGATTTGGAAAGAAAATTCTCATTTCGGAAGCTTTAAGTTAGAAGAATTGACTAAAGTGTGATTTTGAGTAAACCACGTCAGAATTAGGATTTGAAGGTTCCAACAAGTTTGTATGATGATTTTGGACTTGGGCGTATGTCTGGATCGGGTTTTGAATGAACCAGGAGTGTTTCGGCGCCTACTGTGGAAGTTAGCATTTTGAAAGAATTCCATAAGTTTGGGTTGAAGTGCATTTTAGTGTTATCGATGTCCGCTTGGAATTCCGATTTTGGAAATAGCTCCGTAATGTGATTCTGGTATTGGAAGCGTAAACGGAAGTGGATTTGGAGGTCCGTAGATCATTTTGGAGTCATTTGGCTAAAGTTAGAAATTTGAAGGTTGTTGAAAAGTTTGACCGAAAGTGGACTTTTTGATATCGGGGTCGAATTCTGATTCCGAAAGTTCGAGTAGGTGCGTAGTGTCGAATATGACTTATGTGCAAAATTTGAGGTCAATCGGACGTGATTAGAGAGGTTTCGACATCGAATGTAGAAGTTTGAAGTTCTAAAGTTCATAAAGCTCGAATTGGGGTGTGATTCGTGATTTCTGACGTTGTTTGATGTGATTTGAGGCCTCGAGCAGGTCCGCATTATGTTTTGGAACTGGTTGGTGTGATTGAACGGGGTCCCGGGGGCCTCGGGTGGATTCCGGGTGGTTAACGAATTGAAAATGGAATTTGACAAAGGGCTGAAGCAGCTGGGCTTCTGGTGTAACCGCACCTGTAAAAACTCAGTAGCTCCCTCAACAGCTGAAGCAGAATCT